GTGGATGACTGGTTGTGTAAAGCGCTTTGGGGTCCTTAGGCACTAGTAAAAGCACTAAAAAGTATTGTAAATGGCCTGTATTTGTATCGCTCTGATCTTTTCTTCAAGGTTAAATAAGGTCAAGCTTTCATAAAATGGCTTTTATCTTTTAAACTATGTTTAAAATTCTACTGCATTTGTTTGTATTGGCAACATTTGGGAAATGATCATTTGCATCCAAATATGTCTTACTTGACTATTTCCTTATGTTGAATTACATGGCAGAGCTTCAGAACGGCTTGAGGTTGGTCACAATTGCTAATGAAGGCAAGCTTAGAAGCCACCTTCTGTCAGGTTTTGTATTACTATAGCTTTCTTTTAGTTTCTAATAGTGTATGAAGTGTTCTCTTTCATTGTCATCGGCTTTTGATTTGTTATTTACAGAATGCAAACCTTTAGTCTCATATATGGTAGTCAGTGGATTTTATCACCCTTTCCTGTTCAAGGTTATGTATCTTATTGTGTTTTATATTTTCTGTCTGTATCTACATAGTAAACCAAAATTTTGGATTTGCGTCAAAACTACTTCTTAGTTCAATTTTTAGACAGAATTTCTAGGCATAGCCAGATAGCAGGAGGGTTCCACTTTGGTGGCCTCAGAATCTCATCTGTGCTATTTGCAGATGATGTGGTTCTGTTGGCTTCATCGGGTGATGTCCTCCAGCATGCTGGAGCAGTTCACAGTCAAATGTAAAGCGGCAGGAATGAAAATCAGCACCTGAGGCCATGGTTTTCAGCCAGCAAAAAGTAGAATGCCCATCCCAGGCTGGGGACGAGTTGCTGCCCCTACTCTGTGAAGTCTTCCTCCTCTCCCCTGGGAACAGCACTAATTTCCTCTCATTTAGTCTCTGTTGGAAATAGTGCATGTTGGGAGGATGCTGTATCAGCAAACAAAGGCAAGGGTTCCATTACATGTGTAAACATTTAAAATCAAGGCATCTCTTATGTGAGCAGAAGAAAATGACAAGTTCAGCAAATTATAAAAAACAGCATATGTGTTTTCACCTCTG